AATTATGAGGTAAGCGGAACTGTTGCTTGCTTTAAAGGAGGTTTCAGGGGAGATTTCTGGACAAACGTTTTAGGGGGAAAGAACGTCTCAAAGCAATCGTTAGTGGCTCACCCAGTCTCAAGGGCTGCAAAAGTCTGGATTCCATGAGAATTTAAAACTCTCACAGATGGCATAACTCTTCTGGAGGCGACCGAACTATGGAATTGCATGCTATGTGAATGATATGCCGAGAAAAGGGTTAAAAACAGTTTTTTCTTTTTTCAAAGAGCCGCTTGCTGGGCCAGGGCCGAACTGTCTGATGCCTGTTTGTGTGCTGTTCCTCCAGGGATAGGGGAGCGGTGGCGGGGGGGACCCGGCTGCCATTTTCAGGGAGAGGGGAGGCGTTCCTAACACAGGACCTTCTCCTCAGGCCTGAGGGGAGGTTGGAGGGAAGCAGGGGCCTTCAGTCTTGAGGGAGGGTTGCTGCTGGGGTGGAACAACCCAGGAGGGGAGATGGGCAAGCTTCCTGCGGGAGATTCGGAGGGATGGAGAAACCTGGGTGGGGTTCCAGCTGTGACCGAGAGAACAGACAGAGTTGGGGGAGCCAGCAGCTGTATTGAGGTAAAGTGGACAGTGTTGAGTGACCCTGACCCGATCTACAGGTCTATGCTTCTCACAGCGCTGGGAAATTGCAAGGTCTTGATGGCCGAGAGGAAGAAAGCCCAGAGTTCTTGGTGGGATGGCTCTGTGTCTCACCAATCACCCAGGGAAGCGCAGACAGGGGCAGTGACTTCCAAACCGGCCCCTCTGTCGTCCTGCAGGCTCCCTGGGAATGAGGGAGGATTCAACAGTCTGAGCTCCTTCAAGCTCTGACTTCTGAGTCACAAGGGTGGCAGCCACGCGTGTGCTCCCTGGCCCAGATCCCAGCCCCTGCTGGGTGCTCAGCATGCAGCCTTGGGCAAGTGACCGCACCTCCAGGAGCAGCAGTGTTGTCACAAGTGAAAGTAGAATCGCATTGCCTCCCATAGGCAGATTTAAGGAGCCATGCACGTGGGCACCCCTACACAGCTCGGGGTCTGTCCCTGCGACAACATCTATGGGTAAAGAAGACTGGGGCTTCTGACTGAGGCCGTCGATGCTCGGCCCAGCAAAGAGCTCATTTATAGATATCCGTTCCGGACTGCCTGCCTGGCCAGGAGGAAGTAGAAGTCAAGGAGCTGAGGCAGCAGTTTGAAGTCTTTTTCAGGACCAAGCCTCCAGCCTCCATTCCCCTTTCTAATTCCTTATCCCAACCTTCTCCTTCTCAACTCCTGCCCCGATGAGCTTCTCACCACCGGGATCCCCAGGACAGCACAGAGGACGGGTGGTGTCATGTCACGCTGTCCATTTAACAGAGGGGCAGATCAAGGCCCAGAGAGGACACAGGACTTACTAAGTCCCCAGCAAAGTACTGATTGAGCCAGGAACAGGAATGCGCTCTCTGCCTAGCCTGGAGCCCTGGACTCTTCCCTCGCACCCGAAACCAGATGGTTCTAGAACGTGAGAACCTCCTGTTTTTGCCTGGTCAACAGAAGCAGTTCCTTACACGGGCTCACTCAAAGAGTGGTGGGGCCTGGGTTCTGCAAACAGCCGGGGTTTTACAAACAACATCAGGCTGCACTGGAGGCACGTGGCTGGGGACAGCGCAATGTCCGCACAGCTGCTGGGTTCTTCACACCATGCCAGGTTTCACCAATAGCACGGGACTCTAAAGAAAAAAGGCATCCAGTTTTACAAACTGCGGCAATCGCAGATGGTACACACACACACACACACACACACACACACACACACACACACAC